AAGTGTTGAATGATGATGAAATATTTTCTTTTTGGAGATTTTCTTTCTTTTTTTGGGTCACCCTGCCTTGGTGGGAAACGGCTGACTTGTTGAAAAAAAAAAAAAATTATTCTGGTGAGGAAATGGGGTAACGACCAGTTTGTTTGGCCTCGCCTCTACACCACTCGCCTGAAGCGAGCTGACGTCAGGGTTGAGTGGGGTGGATTAAGCAGTACAGCAACTCTCTCGGTATAGAGGGGGTCTCCACAGCTTACTCATTTTAACCTAAGCGGTGAAGCTTTTGGACTAGAGCTTTATTCACTTAAGTCACCAGAAATTGTGGAATTTTCATTATACAGAAGTTCTTGCATATAGAGACTTCAAGTTTTCTAAGCCATCAGCCTAATCTCCTTAGAAAATAGAGAATAAAGTAACTTTTTGTTCAACTGAATATTAAAGGTTAATTCAACTAAGAATAAAGGTCTTCTTAATTCATAAGTGGTATATAAAGTCTGTTTATATATAATTAAGAATAAGGTACAACAAAATACTTTGTCTATAACAATATCTACTTTATATTAAAGATACATTTTACAAAGTTTTTCGATCTCCTTACAACCTTATTACGATATAACTAGAGAATAATTCTCATCAAAAAGTCCCCTAGACTAACAATGCCTACGGTTTATAAAGTTTATCGTAATATCCAATGTGAAAGTAGGTCATGCCCAAGGGTTAGGCAAGTGAAGAATTCCCTGTAGTAAGAGCCTCTCCTGCCTACGGTATATAAGCTACTTCTCCATAGATATGCTATATTCTTTTCAAGATTGATGGACTGACCACATCCATTCTAGGCTTTGTATGGGCTGATGAAGCCACTGTGTGGCAAAACGTTTCCTTATTAAAGATACCCAAGTGTTGCCCATGTGTCTAATATAACAACTTGTTGGTTCTCTGAACCATTCATCTACATTCCTGTCTGACACAGCAACATCTTGGGATCTTAATACAGGGAATTCTTCACTTGCCTAACCCTTGGGCATGACCTACTTCCACATTTAACAAATGTGATACCACCTACGACTGTTGCAACTCTCCTCCCTATGGTATATAAGCTACTTCTCCGCAGATGTGCTGTATTCTTTTTAAGATTAATGGACTGACCCCATCGACTGAAGGGTGAGGGACTGATTACCTCAAACTACTCCTGTTCACCATTCTCCTTTGTATGGACTGATGAAGCCACTGTGTGGCAAAACGTTTCCTCATTAAAGATACCCAAGTGTTGCACATGTCTAATTTATCAACTAAACCTATTACTGTCCTTGTCACCTAGTGCCACTGGCTTTCCAATATCCACCTCATTCTGCCTTACCTTTGATATACCTTTGAAGAATTTCGAGAGTATATCTACTCTCTGAGCCCGGCCATGAGCCAGGCTCGTCTGGTGCTCGCCTGGTCAACCAGACTGTTGCTGCTGCTGTTGCCACTGCCCCACATATCCATCACAGCCTGGTTGATCTGGCACCTGGTGAAGATACTTGTCTAGTTTCCTCTTGAAGGCTTCAACACTTGTTCCAGCAGTGTTTCTGATATCTTCTGGTAAGATGTTGAAAAGTCTGGGACCCCGGATGTTGATACAGTGTTCCCTTATTGTCCCCAATGCACACCTGCTCCTCACTGGGTTTATTTTACACTTCCTCCCATATCTCTCACTCCAGTATGTTGTTATGGCAGTGTGCAGATTTGGGACCAAGCCCTCGAGTACCTTCTTGGTGTATATTATCATGTACCTCTCTCTCCTCCGCTCCAATGAGTACATGTTCAAGACTTGCAGGCGTTCCCAGTAGTTTATGTGCTTTACTGGCTCAATGTGCGCCATAAACGATCTCTGTACAGTATTTGTTCCAGCTCCGATATTTCTCCTGCCCTGAATGAGGACATCAGCACTGAGCAATATTCTAAGTGAGGGAGCACTAACGATTTGAAGAGTGTCACTATCGGCATTGTTTCCCTTGTTTTGAAAGTTCTCAATACCCACCCAGTCATCTTTCTGGCTGTCATGATCTTTGTCTTGTTATGGTCTTTAAAAGAAAGGTCCGCCGACATAATTATTCCTAGGTCTTTTACGTGTTCCTTACGTTCTATTTGGTGACCCTCTTGAGTTTTGTATATAATGTTCCTGTTGAGTTCTTCATTCTTTCCATACCTAAGCAGCTGGAACTTATCACCATTGAACATCATGTTTTCCACTGCCCACTGGAAAACCCTGTTTATGTCTTCCTGTACTTTTTCAGTGTCCTCTATCGTACTGACTTTCATGCTTATTTTAGTGTCATCTGCAAATGATGATACAAAAGTGTGCTGGGTGTTTCTGTCTATGTCTGCTATGAGGATGAGAAACAGCAGAGGTGCCAGGACAGTGCCTTGGGGCACTGAGCTTTTGACCTCGCTGATGCTGGATCTTGCCCTGTTCAGTACTACTTTTGTGTTGTATGCATTAGGAAATCGAAAATCCATCTGCCTACCTTCCCCGTAATGCCCATGGCCTTCCTTTTGTGCGCTATCACTCCATGATCACATTTGTCAAACGCCTTTGCAAAACCTGTGTAAATCACATCTGCGTTTTTGTCATCTTCCAGTGCCTCCATAATTCTGTCATAATGGTTCAGCAGCTGTGACAGACATGATCGTCCTGCTCTAAAACCATGCTGGTTTGGGTTATGTTGGTTGTGCCTATTACTAGTTCCCCTAGTACTCATATTACTACACAATGGGACTTCACTGTTTTCCTGCCAAAACCCATACCACTAACTATTCCTAGTTTAAAGTCCTAACAGCTCCCTCTACTGCAGTTGCCAGTGCCCCCACCCCAGACCTAGATAAGTGAATCCCATCCATGGCATACATGTCATTTCTGCCATAGAAGAGGTCCCAGTTGTCAATGAATGTTACCGCATTTTCCTTACAGTATTTGTCCAGCAAGCAATTGACACCAATTGCCCTGAACACCCATTCATTTCCAACTCCTCTCCTTGAGAAAATACCACATATGACAGGGTTCCCACCCTTCCTCCTAATTATCTTTATTGCTGACCTATACCTGCTAATCAGGTCCTCACTCCTACATCTATCAACATTGTTGCCTCCAGCACTGAAACAAATAATAAGATTGTTCCCATTACCTCTCATGATGTCATCCAGATGGCTAACAACATCCTTCATCTCAACCCCAGGAAAACACACCATCTGCCTCCTACTCCTATCCTTCAAGCAGATGGCCCTATCCATGTACCTAACCTGGCTATCCCCAACAACAACATTTTTACCTTTCTTGGGGTCATTCGTCATGATGTTCCCAGAAGTCAACTCACATTTATCAGTTAGCATGGAGAATGAGTCTGATGTTTCCACAACAGTTTCCTGGATCTTCGTTGATTCTACCTCTCCATTCGTCCTCTTGATCCTTAGCTTTGTCCCATGCTTTCCAGCCACTGTTCAGGTTCCTTTCTTGGCTTGAGGATTTTCAACAGGAGGATTACTACGAATCTTCTTGTTTTCCTCAGTCAGTCGCTGTATCTCAAGCTTAGCCCTCCTCAGTTCTTCCTTTAGCTGCTGGTAGAGTTGCTCAAGAGAGGACATCTAGTTCAAATTCACAGAGAGCACACAAGACACGTCTTCACAGAGTTAAGTACAGGTCACCACAGGCCAACACAAATTTGAAACTACCTTGGGTAGTTTCAAATTTGTGTTGGATAAATACACGAGTGAAAGGGGTTGGACGTGAGTGGGACCTGCACACGAGTAAATAGAATTATCAAAGCTTAATGCTTGGGCAACATTGAAAATTGAGTTGGTGGGACGGATTGTGAAGGACCTGCCTAGTATGGGCCAACAGGCCTGCTGAAGTGTATTATTATTATTAGTAGTACATATGTAATAATAATAACTATTATTATAAGAACATAAGAATGGAGGAACACTGCAGAAGGCCTACTGATCCATACAAGGCAGGTCCTTATCAAAATGACCTCTACCCAAAGCTACCCAAGAAGTTGCTCCCGTACTCAATGACACCAATCAAACCCAGCCCCTCCCACTCGTAAATTTGTCCAATCTCTCTTTAATGCTATCCAAGGTCCTAGCCTCGATCATCCTACTGGGAAGATTGTTCCACGCACCCACAACTCTGTTAGAAAACCAGTACTTACCTATGTCCTTTCTAAATCTAAATTTATCCAACTTAAATTCATTATTTCTGGTTCTTACCTAGTTCAACACCCTCAGTACTTTAATATATCCTTTGTTTATGCCCGTCATCCACTATACACTTCAATGATATCTCTCCTCATTCTACATCTCTCCAAAGAGTGGAGATTTAAGGCTTTAAGTCTATCTTCATACGGGAGATTCCTTACACAGTAAATTAATTTAGTCATTCTTCTCTGTATGTTCTCCAATGAATCTACATCCATCCTGTAGTGAGACCAAAACTGAGCAGCATAATCTAAATGAGGCCTCACTAGTGATGTATAGAGCTGTAAAATAACTTTTGGACTTCTGTTACTTATACTTCTTGAGATAAATCCTAGTAATCTGTTAGCCTTGTTATTATTATTATTATTATTAATTTAGGGAAGTGGAGCACAGATCCAATTCCCTTGATCAAGAGCCCCTCACTAAGGAACCTCCCTTGAGGGAAAAGTTCACATCCTGAAATTTCGTTCGTATCCAGAAGCAAAAAATCAATCGAGTGACTGTTCATATCCTGAAAAATTTGCATGGTGGGGCATTCATAAGCCAAGGTTCCTTTGTATATTAATTAAATTTAAACTTTATATTAGTTACCTCATGCATATGTGTACAGGGTATCTATTTTGGAAATGAAAGGTACAATCAAATAACTATTTCTAATATTTTTACTAGGTAAAAACAGACAGGTGGTAAAAAGTCAATGCATAATTAAAACTATTTCATACTTATTATGAGAAATATACATATATAATTTCTGATGTTTTTACCTGATAGGTTCCATTGATGAAATGGACGGGTATAGCATGGGGTAGCGAGTGGTGATAGGGATTCTTTAGTAAAATAGAAAGGACTTCCATTCGAGATGGTTTAGCCTCTCGACCTCCATGTTCCAAAGTTCTTTCAAGCGCTCGCTGACAATATGCAGCATACTTTCCTACCTCAGTTCTGTTAATACAAATAAATTATGTTCAATGATGAAACAAATATTAATGTGAATAACTGCAAAAGAGTAATGTAATGTATTCAATATAGACGAGACAAAATAAATTTGATATATTCAGTGTTATGACAGTAATATAAAAACTAGTTTTGTGTCAATCTTACAAAACACACTATATCGAGATGCTGTACCAACACACACACTATACATGTATAAGAATAGTATATCCATACACAGACAGGCACGCACATGCTGTGCATACACACACACAGGAAACGTTGTGTTGGTACGTGATGAGGTATCAGAGAGGGCACATGTGTTGAGTGGGGTTCCACAGGGGTCAGTCCTAGGGCAAGTGCTGTTTGTTGTATATGTGAATGATATGACAGAAGGGATACATTCAGAGGTGTTCCTGTTCACAGATGATGTGAAACTAATGAGGAGAATATAAGTGGACAAGGATCAATTAAGACTACAAGAGGATCTGGACAGGCTGCAAGCCTGGTCTGACTATACAGTGGCGGCTCGACAAAAAGTAGAATGAGGGGAGTGCGTGACTGCAAGCCTCATAGAACAGCATAATAAATGTTACTAAAGTAATAATTTTTTAAATTTAACTGGGTGTATGCTGAATCGGATGCAGCTCCTTGCTGCCACATGTAACACCAGTAATACGTATACTACTGTACCGCATCAAACTTCTATGTTCAAACATTTATCTCGTTTCAAAAAAAAAAACTAAAAATTTGCTTATAAATACATTGAAAACATACAACAGATTTTTCCTGTAATATATTTGTCAGTTGCAAATTATTTTAGCATAAGGCTGATGAAGTCATATGTCTGGCAGTGAGCATCTGGGGGGACTGCAGCTCCTATGGACAAGCTGCCACTGCAAATAGCTCATGGAGTTTAATCCCACCAACTTCAAAGTCATGAAGATAGGGAAAAAACAAAGAAGACCACAGACAGAGTACAGCCTAGGGGCTAAAAGGCTGCAAGAATCACTCAAGGAAAAGGATCTTGGGGAACATCATATCAGGTACATCTCCTGAAGTGCACATCGGCCAAATAACCGCTGCACCATATGGGCACCTGGCAAACCTAAGAATAGCATTTCGACATCTAGGTAAGGAATCATTCACGACACTGTACACCGTGTACCTCAGGCCTATATCAGAGTATGCAGCACCAATTTGGAACCCACACCTGGTCAAACACATCAAGAAATTGGAGAAAGTGCAAAAGTTTGCAACAAGACTAGTCCCAAAGCTAAGCAAGCTGAGTAAAGGTTAAGGGAATTCAACCTGATGACACTGGAAGACTGGAGGGATATGGGGGGGGGGATATGATAATGACATAAAATAATGAGAGGAACTGACAAGGTGGACAGGGCCAGAATGTTTCAGAGATGGGTCACAGGAACAAGGGGACACAACTGGAGGTTAACAATTCAGATGAGTCATAGTCATGTAAGGAGTATTTCCTCAGCCTTAGATATGTCAGGATATGGAACAATTAGTCGAGACAGGATCCATACATAGCTTTAAGATGAAGTATGATAGGCTCTTGGAACAGGGAAAGAGTGGACCTAGTAGCAACTAGCAAAGAGGTGGGGCCAGGAGCTATGACTTGACCTTTGCAACCACAAATAGGTGAGTACAGTGTGTGTAGAGTCACCTAGTTGCACTCATCTAGTAGTGGTTGCAATGTTCAAGTCACAGCTCCTGGCCCCACCTCTTCACTGGTCGCTACTAGGACACACTTCCTGCTCCATGAGCTTTATCATACCTCTTCTTAAAGCTAAGTATGGATCCTGCCTCCACTACATCACTTCCCAGACTATTCCACTTCCTGACAACTCTGTGACTGAAGAAATACTTCCTAACATCCCTGTGATTCATCTGAGTTTTCAACTTCCAACTGTGACCCCATGTTGCTGTGTTCCACCTCTGGAACATCCTGTCTCTGTTCACCTTGTTGATTCCTCTCAGTATCTTATGTCATTATCATATCCCCCCTATCTCTCCTAGAAGGTGGGGAAGGGAATGGGGGACCTGGCAGTGTGCTCTGGGATTCTGCAGCATAGTTTGGGGTGGGGACTGTAAGTGTGGATTGTGGTTTGTGTTGAGATATCGTGTTTGGTTGTGGGGTTCTGGGGGTGGTTCGGTGTGCACTTGCGTTTGTTGCTTTGCCCTGCTTTGGTTGACCTCTGCTGATTCTGTCCTTGTCTCTCTTTCTAGCCCTTTTCACTTCTGTGTCCTCTCCCTCAGCTGCTGTCATTCTGTTTTTGTTTTGTCTCAGTCTAAGAACATCCTCTTGCATGTTGGTGATTCCTTCAGCTGTGGTTTCTCTTGCAGGATCCTGTTTTGCACTGTTTCTGTCTTGAAAATCAGCCTGACTGGCCAATTTCTCCCCTTCAAGTACCCCCCTATTCTCTGAAAATTTACTATCTCAATCATGTCCTCTTTGCCTATTTCTTTGATGTTTTCAATCTCCTGTTTTTCTTCCTGCTGTCTTTCAATGTGCCCTCCCTTTGCTCTCCTGAAGCCCATGAATAAACACCCACCTGTCCCTCTCCTCCTCCCATTGCCTTTCCCTCTGCATCTCTGGTTCCCACTTGTATATGGCCATTTTCTTCCTTTTTTTTTCCTGTAGCTCTTGGTGGCATGGTCATGCCTCTACATGTGACCCATTTCCCTTGCCACCTTCTCCCCCCTACCTTACCACTATCCCTGCTCCCAACTGCTCTCCCTCTTCATTCCTTGGCCCTGCTTGGTAGGATGATAGGGTCTAAGCATAAGTTATGTCTCCTTTCCATTGGGCTCCTCGTTCAGTAGGGGTGTACCAGCTTCAGTTGCTATGTCTCTTCTGAGCAATACCCCTGTAACTCGCTTCAGCCCATCTACCTCATATTCTAGGGCCCTTATCCTGGCTTCTGCAGTTTCGACTTGTGACTCCCATTTCTTCTTCTCCTCCTCCTCCATCCTCTTATCTAATTCAGCAGAAAACTCTGCCTCCATTATTTTCTCCAGTTCCGCAGAAAACTAACCTAGTCATTGACTGCTTTCCTCCTGATGTGGCTATACAACAGCTTCAGGTCAGACTTGACTTTTGATGCCATGTCATTTTCAAATTGTCACTGAGCCTCCCTTCTTATCTGTGCATATTCGTTTCTGGCTCTTCGGCTAATCTCTTTATTTTCCTGAGTTCTTTGTCTCTGTACCTTTTCCATTCTCTAGTACATCTAGTTTTTGCCTCCCTACACCTTTGGGTGAACCAAGGACTCGTTTGGTTCCCATTTTTTTTTCCCTTGGGAACAAACCCTCCTCTGCCCCCTTGTATTTTTTGTCAAAGCCCACATTTCTTGTACTGGTTTTCCTGTCATTCTCTCTCCCACTAAAATGTCTTTCGGGAAGTTCCTCATCTTGGCAGTCCCCCCTTTTGTAGTTTTTCCCATATATTCCTGCTACTTCTCCACTTGTCTAACATGAAAGTTAAGCACAGAACCACAGATCACTCATCCTAGGGGCCTTTCATACATGATATCCTCGATGTCTGAATTATCAAGGTGAATACAAGGTCCAGTCTTGCGGGAAACCATTCTCACTCTCCCCTCTCTCTCTCTCTTTTGGTAGTGTCTCTAACATGGAGGCATGGGTTTTCCAGTACCAGTTTTGTGTGTGTGTGTGGTGGGGTGTGTGTGTGTGTGGTGTGGGGTGTGTGGTGTGTGGTGTATCCCTATTTGTGGTTGCGGGGGTCGATTCAACTCTGTGTGTGTTGTGTGTGTGTGTCTGTTGGTGTGTCGTCTGTTGGGTGTGTGTCTGTGTGTGTGTGTGGTGGTGCTGTAGTGTGTGTGTGTCTGTGTGTGGTGTCTGGTGTGTTGTGTGTGTGTGTGTGTCGTGTGGTTTTTGTGTCTGGTGTGTTGTGTTGTGTGTGTGTGTGTGTGTTGGTTTTCTTGCTGCTGTGTGTGTTGTGTCTGGTGTGTGTGTGTGTCTGTGTCTGTGGTGTGTCTGTGTGTGGTGTTTGTTGGTGTGTCTTGTGTGGTCTGTGTGTGTCTGGTGGGTTTGTATTGGGTGTGTGTGTGTGTGTGTGGTGTGTTTTGGGGTGGTGTGTGTGTGTGTGTGTGTCTGTGTGTGTTGTGGTGTGTTGTGTTGTGTGTGTGTGTGGTTTTTTGTGTGTCTAAACTACTAATGATCTGCAGTAATCAATTCATATGGTCACTGCCAGAAATTTTTAAAGACACAAAGTTGCCCCCATATAAAAGAAGGGTGACAGACAAAGGGCGTAATTACAACGGGTTTTTATTGCATGAACCCTTCCACGGTAATGAAGAAACCTTTATCGGGAAGATGATAGAACCTGCGAGAAGTGGTTTCAAAAACAATAACCAGCTTGGTTTTAGGAGGTAGATCAAGTGTGTCCTCAAAAACTTGTTGGAGTTCTAAGATAAAGTAATAAATGTGAACAAGATTGAGGGGGTTGGGTTGGATGGACTGCATTTTCTTAGATTGCAAGAAGGCATCTGATACTGTATCACACAAGACTGGAGAAAAAAAAAACTTCAAAAGCAGGCAGTGGAGGATTGTGGATCAAAAGAGTACCAGGGTGAGTAAGAGTGCCAGAATGGGGAAGAGTAGCAATCAGAGTTCCACAAGGACTGGTATTAGGGTCAGTACTATTTCTGGTTTATGTGAAGACAACCAAAGGGAAATTTGATTTAGATGTACTCTTTTTCTGATGATGTAATACTAACGAGAATACAAACAAATGAGGACGGGAGGGGCTGAAAATTAAACTGGCAAACAAAAGGGTTTTGGCCCAAAAGGGTTGCTTCCCCTTAAAACTGTGCAAACATAGATCTCTTTTGTCCGCACATTTCCAAACGAGCTATTTTTTTTTTTTCCCTGCCCCCAAAATTTTGGGCATGTTTGGCCTAGATGCCGGGTCAGTAAGAATGGGTTTTAAACACTCGGTGTGCCAGTATTAAAAAATTCTGAGCCACTTAGTCCCTTGTGAGAGCACCATTTTCAACTGATGCCAGCTAGAGCAAAAAACTGGCAAACACCAGGGGTTCACTGATGTCTGTCATATTAACTTCCCCTTTTAAAGGGGAAGATGGGACCCAGGTTTTGTGGGATGAATGGGCAGGCACAAGGGGGAAGAAAACCCAAAAACCCGAAATAACCCAGTGCAACATCCTTTTTTTCTGATACCACTGGAGGTTCCTGCCGAAGTCCAATAACCTAGCCCTAAGTAAAAAAAACGATTTTGGAAATGTGTAAAATGTACAGGGCTCCTTCAACATTTGGTTTTCCACTTTTTGAGGCTTGAACATTTACGAAATTCCCGCCGCCCAATCAATTTAAAATATGTTTTTTTTACATATTTTGGAAATTTTGGGGGGTGGCAGTTTTTTTTTGAGACAGGACAAATGGCCTTCAATATGACATTATTTCAACTCTACAGCTTATTTTTCTATCAATTCCTAATAGACATAATAAACAAAATTAATCAATAGAACATGACATATATTCTAGAATTAATAAAATACACATAAGTATGTCACGAGTGTTGGTTGTCTTGTTGTTGTTGGGGGTATAAGGGCCACTGAGACATAACCATACATGTGGTGGTGGAGGCGGCAGTAGAGACGTGATACTAGAACGGCGGTTTGTCTTTTTCCCTATAACCCCAAAAACATGGGGGGATTAGGTTGCATTGTCCTTTACCGATTAATTGCTTAAATTACTTTCTACACTTTATTGTTGGTGGTGCTATAGCCTTTATCGACTCGTCTGCTTTTGTATTGTACATATCGTAAATACTGAAAAGGGACATTCTCCCCCCCCTCCTCCTCCCCCCCTTGGTACCGGCTAGAGTCCTTTTTGAAATTTTATAGTTTTTTTCACCTTTACCAAAAGGGGTTGGCCCCAGTACAATATTTTGTGATGTTTTCACATGTTTTATGATTGTTCATGTTCAATAGGGTTTAAAGGGAAACATTTGTTAGGGAAGTAATGCATTATTATATTTTCCCTACAATAATTGTGCACCACACATTTGCGTTTTTTTAAAATTTTCAGGTTCTTGATCCCCTAAACCCCCGCGAATGTGGGGGGAGACCTATTTCGGCAGGTGGCCAGCGGTTTGGGTAGCTAGTTGGATGACTGACATTGGATTCTCTGTCGTCCTTCTTGTCTGTCTCTATCCCATTTCTACATCTCCACTGTCCCCATATTCTCGTGTCTATTTTTCCACTGTCTGTCTTCTTTGTCTATCTTTGTCCTTTACAAGTTCCTTTTTTTTTTTTCAACAAACCGCCATACCCACCCAAAGGGGGGTGGCCCAAAAAAAAAAACGAAAGTTTTTTTTTTTAAATTTTTAAATTTTTTCAAGGAAGGAGTTACTAGCCCCTTGCCCCCCCCATTCACGGACATAAAGAAACAATTATACATAGTGTAAATTAAAACCCAGGAAACCCCAAAATTCCCGGCAAAGTGCATACATGCTTGTAGTTTAAATGGTCCCCAATAATCGTCCGGGGTTGAAATTTCCCTTTTGGGGAAAAAAAGTCGCATTATTTCGTTTTTAAAAATTGGCTCAAAATGGTCCCTTAACCGCTAAACCCTCTTTCGTCCGGACACGTCTCACGGTCTGAGCCCTGTTGTCCTCCCCTTTCCCGCCAGTGTGCCTTGTTTACCATTTAGGACGGCCCCTCACGTGTTCAACAACATTTTATAATACATATTCCATTCATTTTTGTGCTTAAGTGCTAAATAAGCACCATGGCTCCAAAGAAAGCTCCTAGTGCCAAGCCCTTGGAAAAAGGTGAGAAAAACTTGATTTAAAAAAAAATCACTAACAATATGAAAGTGGGGGTACGTGTGGCAAACTGGCCAGGAGTTTAAAACAAATCCCTAAACCCTATCTTCCATATAGCAAAAAATGTTGGGGTGTTGTTGCTGTTGTTTTGTTTCTTTTTGTGGACTTTGGTTTTTCAATTTGCGAGGTTCTTGATCCCCTTCTCGTGAATGTGAGGGAGCTATTTGTGTCTGTGTGCGTCTGGTGGTGTGTGTGGTGTGTTGGTGTCTCTGTGTGTGCCTGTCTGTGTCTGTGTCTTTGCCTGTGTGTCGTCGTCCCCTGTGTGTGTGTCTGTGTCTGTGTGTGTGTCTGTTGTTGTCTGTGTGTGTGTGTGTCGTTTGTGTGTGTGTTGTTAAATCGTGCCATATCCTGAGGGGTGGCAAGAAAAAGAGTTTTCTTTTATGTGTGTGTGTTCAAGTGAAGGAGTTTCTGTGTCCTGTTGCCGTGTGTCTGGTGTGGTGTCTGGGTGTGTCTAGTGACATGTGTAAATTGTTCTGTGGTTCCAAAATTTGTGAAAGTGGTTTGTGCTTGTGTGGTGTGGTGTGTGGTGTGTGTGTGTGTGTGAATCTAAATACTGCTATGAAATAGTAGTAATTTTTTTAATCATTGGCCAGTCTTTAAGACACAGAGTTTACCCCATATATCAAGGTGCAGAAGGGCAGTAATTACGACTGGTCATTTGACATGCATTCCTCACGGTGATGAAGTACCTTATCACAAGTGTAGACACTGACAGAGAAGTGGTTTTATAAACAATTAACCACATTGAT